AAAAAAAAAAAAAAAACTTTAAAACTAAAAAAAAAAAAGGTAGCTGAGACAAATTTTGGCCATTCTCCCTTCCGAGAAGCATTCCCACTGTATCTCTTCCAGGACAGATGTTTGTTCTTCTGGCAGTCAACGGTATTTTCAGTATTCTTTTGCAACACCACAATTCAAAAAGGCATCAATCAATTCTTTTTTTGGTCTTCATTGTCCAGCTTTCCCACGCATATGAGGTGATTGAAAATACTATGGCTTGGGTCAGGTGACATTACCCAGTGAGATCTTTGCTCCTCGGTAATTTAAAGAGGTCTTTTGCAGCAGATTGACCAGTGCAATACAACGCCTGATTTCTTGACTGCTGGTTCCATTGGTATTGACTGTGGAACCAAGTAATATGAAATCCTTAACAACTTCATTCTTTTCTCCATTTATTGTGAGGTTGCTTATTGGTCCAGCTGTGATTATTTTTCTTTGTTTCCACAAATAGGCCTAAGTTTTCTGAAAGGTCACAGCCATTCATTAGCCCTTTGGAGTGCAGCTTTATTCTGAAACACATGGGGTCACCATGAGTCAGAATCCACTCCATGGCAACTGGAAATTTTTTGAGGAAATGTTAAATAGGCATGGAAGAAGAGAAAAGAAAATCACCGTGCATGAAAGTAGTCTCTGATGAGCTTTTGAGGTTTGCTCAGGGCATTCAGGTTGGGGACAAAAGTGGTTTCTACATTAAGCCCTTGGTAGAGAGGTTTTGTTTTGTTTTAGTGTGGGTTTGGAAACCTTCTGTTGTCATGTGTTGCTTATAGTATTAATCCTTTACCTAGGAATCCAAGGCTCCTTAATATGGCCCCAATCTGCTTATCCAGCAGGGTCTTCCATTATTCTTTTAAACAGACCTTTGATTCAAGTATGGCCTACACACTGTCATCCACATCTTTTGCTTTCATGTCATTGCTTTCTCGCTTCATCCTAAATAGACTGCTTTGTGACTTTGCCTACTTCAAAGATCAATTCGATACATTTCCCCTGGAAGTATGTCTCACATCACACAGTCATATCTCCTCCTCTAAACTCATCCAGTCACTGTAAGGAAAAATACAATTTGAAAATAAGAGGTTTTAATTCTCCCTGTTGAAAATGAAGGCGGAAGCTCCTCTTCCCCTGTTCTTTCAGAATTCACTTTAGATAGATAACTTGTAATGGTAGAATCAAGGAGCCCTGGTGGCACAGTGGTTATGTTGTGGGTTCAGAAGAAATTGATGACCACTAGAATGTCAAGAATTTAGAAGAGTCTTTATTCAGCTATAGTCAGGCTGCAGGGAACTAAAGCATTCTCCCCAACTGCAGCCCCGAGCCTGATTTCAGGCAGGTTTTTATAGCTTAGGACTGCAAACAGGCAAGCAAGCGTATTACAGAAGCGATAAATTCCCAGGTTATTGCATAGGAAAGATTGATGGGGGTCGACAGGGCTCTCAGGGAAAGGAAGGGGGGTGGGTTTCTCAGGGATGTCTTGTTTAGGAAAGGAAGAGGGGAGTGGGTTTCTCAGGGATGTCTTGTTTAGGAAAGGAAGAGGGGAGTGGGTTTCTCAGGGATGTCTTGTTTAGGAAAGGGCGAGGGGAGTGGGTTTCTCATGAAATTACAAAATAGAATCATCTACTTCAGTTAAAGCACTTGGCTGTAAACTGAAAGGTTAGCAGTTCAAACCCACCAGTCACTCCAAGGGAGAAAGATGTGGCAGTCTGCTTCTTTAAAGGTTTACAGTCTTGGAAACCCTATGAGGCGGTTCTATTCTATCCTACCGATACACTGAGTCTGAATCGACTCAATGGTAGTGGGTTTAGTTTTTTTTTTTTTTTTAGTTAATGGTAGACCCTTTCTGAAAAGTATGTAAATCAAGGATGTTTCCTCCAGAATCTGGGAGCCATCTCTCTTGAAATGCGATCATCAAGGAAGATTATATCCCTACCTCCCAATTTCTTCGAAGAAGCTAAACATAACTTTAGGTATCTTGCCATAAAGATATTAGAAAATTAGCCAATTTTATCTTAAACATGAATGTAATGAGTTGTATCTACTCAGCTATATGATAGATAAGATTTTTCTGCCTTTGCACATCTCTTTAGTGGATTATCTGATGCATCATGTTCTAGTTTGAAGCTTATTCAGTAATAAAGTTTTCTTTCTCTTCTGTTTTTGTGGAGAGGTTTTCTGGGTTGGGACTATTGCAGAACTGTGGAGGGGTGGGGTAATTCTCCTGGGAGCAAACTCTGACCAAATGAAAACAGTAGAGTGGAGCAGTGCATTACTTAATATGGCCCTTCTAGCCAAAGTTTTTGTGACACTCCCCCCACACACATACACAGATTGGGTGGGACATGCAAATAAAGTATATGGAAACTGTGATGGCTGGGGTTGTATGTCAACTTGACTAGGTCATGATTCCCAGTATTTTGCATTTATCCTCCATTTTGTAATCTGATGTAATTATCCTCCATTGTGTATGTTGTAAATCCTTACTTCTATGTGTTAATAAGGCATGATTGTTGTTAGTAGGTGCCCTCAAGTCATTTCCAACTCATAGTGAACCTGTATAGAGCAGAACAAAACAACAAAACACTGCCCAGTCCTGGACCATTCTCACAATCGTTGTCATCCTCGAACCCACTGTTGCAGCTTCTGTGTCAGTCCATCTCATTGAGGATCACCCTCATTTTTGCTGGCCCTCTGCTTTTCCCAGTATGGTATCCTTTTCCAAGGAATGTTCTGTCCTGATAACATGTCCAAAGTATGTGAGATGAAGTCTCACCATTCTTACTTCTAAGGAGTATTCTGGCTGTACTTCTTCCAAGGCAGATTTATTCATTCTTCTGGTAGTTCATGGTATATTCAATATTCCTCACCAATTCACAGGCACAACAATTCAAAGCCATCAATTCTTCGTCAGTCTTCCTTATTTATTGTCCAGCTTTCACATGCATATGAGGTGACTGAAAATACCATGGCTTGGATCAGGTGTACTTTAGTCTTCAAAGTGACATCTTTGTTCCTTAACACTTTAAAGAGGTTGTTTGTAGCATATTTGTCTAATGGAACACATTGTTTGATTTCTTCACTGCTGCTTCCATGGGTGTTGATTGAAGATCCAAGTAAAATGGAATTCTTGACAAACTTCAATGTTTTGTTTTCATTTATCATATTGCTTATTGGTCCAGTTGTGAGGATTTTTGTTTTCTTTATATTGAGGAGTGATCCATACTGAAGGCTGTAGTCTTTGATCTTCATCAGTAAATTCTTCAAGTCTTCTTCACTTACAGTAATCAAGGTAAATGTGTCATTTACGTATCACAGGTTGAGGCAGGATTAGGTTACGTTTGTTATGTTAATGAAGCAGGATTATTGTGGGAGGAACTCAAGTCACCACCCTCACTTGAGTCATACCTTTTATTTTACAAGAGATAAAAGGAGAGAAAAGTCAGCAGAGAGAGGGCACCTTACTACCACCAAGAAAGAAGAGTCAGGAGCAGAGTCCATCTTTTGGATCAATGAGCTGAGAACCTCTGAGACCCAGAAACAGAGAACTGTAACATTAGAGATAGTGAGAAATGGCAACAGAGAAACAAGATCAACAGGAGATAGCACACTGGTCTTCCCAGACAACAGAGCAAGAAAGCTGAATGTCTTGAGACAGGAGGCTTGCTAGTGAAGTGACATATCTGGGGTGCCTCTGGGCACATGTAGGTGGAGGTAAGCTTGCCAACCCACAGAATACCCACAGAGGAAGAGATCTGAGTGCCTTGGGCCAAGGCTTATTGTTGAAAAAAAGGAGTGCCTTTGGGCACTTAGAAGCAGAGCTAAAAGAGCTTTGTAACACTTGCCTGAGCAGGACAGAGGCCAGGCTGAGGGGCTGAGAGGCCTGCCTGCAGGCACTTTTGATAAAGGCTGTCCTGACTGAAGAACAGTACCCTGATTTGTTTCAGATCCTGAATTGTAACCTGCTACTCTGGTAGCATCTGGTAGCATAATGGCTAAGACACTTGCCTGCTAACCAGACGGCTGGCGGTTCAAACCCACCAGCCACTCCTCGGAAGGAAGGTTGGGCATTCCTACTTCCGTAGTGATACTGCCTCGGAAACCCAAGGAGGGGTCGCTATGAGTCGGGGCCGACTCAATGGCAAATAACAACAACAACAACAACACTTCCCTAATAAACTCCATAATAGTATTGTCTGAGTTCTGTGTGGCCATTGCAAGTAATGATCAAACCCAGCAGAAAAGTAGAGAGTGCTGTGGGAGGGATGGCTGGTGTCAGAATTAGTAAACAGTTTGGAGAGATGAGGTGGGTCTGACCTCTGCCTCACAGGAATCATCCTTGGACTGTTGATGGTGATTCTCCCTCTTGTGAAGTTAGAGGAGGTCAGATGCCTCCACCACCACCACCATCACACATTGTTACACATGTTTTTTAAATTGTTTTTTCAATAGGTAATACATTCATGTGTTTCAAAATTCAGAATATACAAAACAGATAAACAGTGAAAAATTTCCATTCTACCTTTGACCTCCTAACGTTTTAGTTTTCCTCTCTAAGACACCAATGTTAGTACTTTTTAATGTATCTTAATGTATATAAGCTAACAGGTTTATGCTTTGTTTTTGTCATTTTTTCCACTTAACAATGTGTACTGAACATAAATATTTAAAAAACAATTTATCTTGGTGATAACTCTACATCATTCCTCAAAGAGGTTCTTCATTCTTCTATATGGCTTTACAGAATGTATTACTTGTATCAACTCATCTCAATTTCTTTTAACATTTTAACATTTCCCTCACTCTTATAAAAATAAACCTCTAATGGATAAATGTACATACACTTTTTTTTCTCACATTTGCAAGATAAATTACTAGAAGTGGAATTTTCAGTGATAGTGTACCAGGTTAATTTTTGACTGATGGTATCAACTCTTTTAGGGATGGCTTTTCCTCTTTGGAGGTCTTCACTGCTTTCCCCTTCTCAACTACCTGGACAGCCTTCAGTAAACCATTCTGCAGAATCTGATTCTTTACCATGTTAGTGATCATGACAGTGACATCCCTTATGTACATCCGTCTCACTTTAGCAGGGTAGTGTTCTGCCTTGTTACCATGTGCAATAAAGAAGGTACAGAGTGCTGTGATATCTCCTTCTTGCAGCCCCAACTCCTCCAGGACAGACTCCCATACAACTCTGACACGTTTGTTCTTGACTTTCCGTCTAAGGATGGAGGCTAAGGTGGGAAGACCTCTCACAAGGTCTGGCAGCTTCTCAAGCACATGAGTGTGCAAGCAGATGAGCACTTCAACGACATAGCTGTATAAAATATTCAGTTCCATCGAAGTGAACCTATGAAAAATGTGGAGAACTTCTTAAGCAGTACAAAGATAAAATGTACTCTAATAGGATAACATAAAGAAGTACAAACCCATTGTGAAAACCAGATGTTGTATTTTAGAAAATACTTGCTTTAGAAATAGGGCCTGTACTAAAGTGAACAGCATAGCTCTCAGGCCACCATACTCTATGTTCCTCAATGACAGGGACATTACATTATCCATCTCTGTGTTACTAAGACTTTGGCAAGCAAGAAGCTCTATGATGAGATGTGTACTGCCATGTCTGCCACATAAACAGGCTTTCAAATTAAACTTTTTTGAAGGAATAAACCTGAGAAAATATTATTTCTTCAGAATCCATCGTTGGAACCATATTAAGAAATTCTGGAATAACCAATGCAAGTTCTCACAAAACCAGAAAATTCCACTGATTTTTTACTGGATACTCACCTTGGGGTCAGAACTGCTGTCCACATCTCGTCTTGGGCTGCCTGGCTTGAGAAAGCCTTGCTATGATATTCAAATTTCTGTGTAAGATTATCCTTGGTGAAGTCTAGTTCTTTGAATTGTGCTTCTAAAGCTTGGAGTTTTTTGTCTACTCTATAGGATAAAAGAATTAAGGGTTAGTTTGGGTCAAGTGAGGTTTTTACCTGAAAGAAGGCTCTAAAACATTGATGACAACCATTATTGTATTTTGGTATCTATTTAAATTTAAAATTATGAACAGATGTTCCCACTTGTCATTCCCTGAAGCCACCCCCCCTGTTCTTAATTCCTTAATTCTTTTTTTTTAATTCCCTTTCAAATAATTTTTTTTTTTTTAATTGTGATTTGGGTGAAGATTTACAGAGCAAATTCACTCTCCATACAGCAGTTCACATACACTTTACCTCATGACATTGACCATGGTTTACCACAATGCAATAGCTCCCCTTCCACTTCCTCCCCCTAGTTACCTCTTCCCAGTATCCATTCCTCCATGCACTCCTGCCCCCTGAGTTGTCTCCCTATGCATAAGCTGCCCTTCTTTCTCCCATGATTGTTCTCTCCAAGGAGTATATCTATCTCAGGTAAATGTTCAACTCATATGCCTGTCTTTTGTTTGGCTGGAAACCACGGGTGTGGGCTCACTTCCAGATGACGGGCAGCTAGGGGCCATAGTCTCAGTGGTTCCACCATTAATTCCTTAATTCTTGCCAAACTTTTTGAATTGTAGAATTTCTTAAATCATTTGCTGTGTCTTGTTTTTGTATTGTCATTTATACTTTAAAAAATATTTTATACACAGCCAAACAAAGTACAGGCATGTGAGTTAAACATTTACCTCAAGTAGACACACGCCCTGGAGAGAACAATCATGGGAGAAGGAAGGGCTGCTTATGCACAGGGAGATAGCTCAGGGTGCGGAAGAGTATGAAGGGATGGACACTGGGAGGAGGTAACTATGGGGAGGAAGTAGGAGGGGAGCTGCTGCATTGTAAATTTTGGTCAATGACATGAGACAAAGTATATGTGAACTGCTGTATGAAAAGTGAATTTACTCTGTAAATCTTCACCCAAATCCTAAAAAAAAAAAAAAAGTTTTCCAGTACTAAAAAATATTTTATACAAGCATTATTTTATTTGATTCTCATAATAACCATAAGAAGTAAAGCAGTCCTTTTTACCAGTTTTCAGATGAAGAATTGAGCCTCAAAAAGTTTGAGGCTAATGTCATATAGCTAGCTAGTGCTTAGACCAGGTTTTTAATAAGGTGGCTTTATCTACCCATTCAGATGACCCAAATCCAAACTTTCCTTTAAGAATCAGCTCACATTTCACTTCCTCCATGAATCCCCCATCTACCTAGAGAGCTCCTCCCTCTCTCCTTTCCCTGCCTCACAAGGACTGCCTTAACCATCTGTCACTCCCTACATCCTACTTTATTTGTAGAAATACATTTTCATTAACCAAACTGTATGCTCTTCGTGAGAGGAGACCAGAGACTATTTCCTGGACATCTTTTGCCCATTCCCCAACACCTGGCTGAGGCTTTAAACAGAAGTAATAAAATACGTTTTGTATGATTGACATCTGTAAAGTGAATGAGATGCTGAGCTGTGTAACCCAGCATGGGGATTTGAGTAGCTCTCAACAGTCCCATGCATTAGAGGGTGCTATGACACTGGAATTACATCTACTTGCACCACAATGAACCAGAGAATTAGAGCTTACATACCTGAAGCCACTTACATTGTCTTTCATGAAAGGATAAACACACATGCCACTTCCCTGAACTTCTGTGTCCCCAGTGACCTGAATACCTTTGCCATTGCCCAGAATTCTGTCCTTGGTCATCTTTTCTTCTTGGTCCTAAACTCCTAAAGCTAATTCAGCTTCAGTTACCACCTGTCACCAGAGCTCTCAACCTGTATATTCAACTCTCTTTTGCACATCTCCACCTGGATAGAGATGTCAAACTCAACAGTCCTAAGTTGAACCAAGTATCTTTCCTACTATGATAGAATACTCTCACTGCTTTGGATTTTATTTACATATAGATAAGGCTCAATATGAAATGTGTGTCTTGCAGAAGTCTAAATTTGTATAACCTAATATGCCAGCAATCTCTGTTTCAAAGTCAAAATCATGTCCTCTGGTATATTTTTGTATTAACTTTTAGACCTGTAAGTGTATATTGATGACAGTACATCAACAGGGAACTGCCAGAAATTCAAGCTGGAGTCAGAAGGTGTGGAAAGAGGGAGATCATTGCTGATGTCAGATGAATCTTGGCTGAAAGCAGAATAAACCAGAAAGATGTTTACCTGTGCTTTACTGACTATGCAAAGGCATTTGACTGTGTGGATCAAAACAAATTAGGGATAACATTACAAAGAATGGGAATTCCAGAACATTTAATTGTGCTCATGAGAAACCTGCACATAGACCAGGAGGCAGTTGTTCAAACAGAACAAGGGGATACTATGTGGTTTAAAATCAGGAAAGGTATGCATCAAGGTTTTATCCTTTCATCATACTTATTCAATCTGTACGCTAAGCAAATAATTCAAGAAGCTGGACTATATGAAGAAGAATTTGTGGCATCAGGATTGGAGGAAGACTACTTAACAACCTGCAATATACACATGACACAACCTTCCTTGCTGAAAATAAAGAGGCAACACTTACTGATGAAGATCAAAGACTACAGCCTTCGGTATGGATTACATCTCAACAGAAAGAAAGCAAAATCCTCACAACTGGAAAATAAGAAGCAATATGATAAACAGAAAAAGATTGAAGTTCTCAAAGATTTTACTTGGATCCACAATCAACACCCACAGAAATCAGTCAAGAAATCAAAGGATGTGTTGCATTGGGCAAATCTGCAAAAGACCTCCTTAACATATTAAAAAGCAAATATATCATTTTGAAGGCTAAGGTGCACCTGGCCAGAGACATGGTATTTTCAATCATCTCATGTGCATATGAAAGCTGGACAGTGATTAAGGATGACTGAAGAATTATTGATGTCTTGAATTATGGTGATGGCAAAGGATACTGAATATACACGGCCTGCTAGAAGAATGAGCAAATCTGTTTTGGAAGAAGTACAGCTAGAATGCTCCTTAGAAGCAAGGATAGTGAAGTGCTCTCTTTGGCAGCACATACACTAAAAAAATTGGAATGCTACAGAGAAGATTAGCATGGCCCCTGTGCAAGGATGACATGCAAATTCATGAAGCGTTCCGTGTTTTTTTCCAGTGGCTCCCTCTATTTCTTGTAATATATGTTGAGTTACACAAACCTCTACAATAGGTATTCTGCCATCTCCTAATGTTGTATGTCCTTCCCTGTAGTGAAGCCACCAGATAGAACAGGTGAGGAAGTTGGTGTACAAACATTTAGTTCAATAGCTGCTGCAGCTACATGTTAAGTCTTCTGGTTTGAAGACTCAGAAGTTCCAAATTTATCAGTCTCAGTGCAGCCTTCCTGCTTTTTGCTTAACTTCAGAACATCTTCTTAGGATCTGATCTTTTGTCCACTGAAAAATCTCTTTCCAAACCAAACTCTAACCCACATCTAACCCCCAAGGCAGAATAGCAAGAATGGATTTTACTCTCCACAAATACCCATTTGTTTCATTAGTTTATGCCTTTTTTCATCATAGAATCATTCACATGAGGAGAGGGGCCATGACTGGAGCTTCTAGGGCTGGCCCTAGTGTGAAAAATAATAAGAATAATAAGAAGCAAGGATCCTGAGACTTTATCTCAGATACTGTGGCATGTTATAAGGAAGGACCAGTCTCTGAAGAAGGACATCATACCTGGTAAAGAAGAAGGTCAGCAGAAAAGAGGAAGATCCTCAACAAGATGCACTGAACAGCAGCTACAACAATAGGCTCAAACATAGCAACAACTGTAAGGATGGTGCAGGATTGGGCAGTGTTTTCATCTGTTGTACATTAAGTTGCTATGAGTTGGAATCTTCTTGATAGCACCTAACAAACAAACAAACAAAAAAAAACCTCACTGCTGTCGAGTCAGATCTCACTCATAGTAATCCCTCCTTGGGTTTCCAAGGTGGTATCACTATAGAAGTAGATTGTCCAGTCTTCCTTCTGAGGAGTGGCTGGTGGGTTTGAACCACCAGCCTTCTGGTTAGCAGTCAAATGCCTCAGGCACTATGCCACCAGAGCTCATAACAACAATAGTAGGAAGGGTATATTGTTCATGGGCCATCTCTAGCTTGAAGTCTAGTCTAGAGACAAACTCTAACTTGTTAATTAGTATAAAAGTTTACAATTTCACAGTTCTTTGGAATCCTGTCACCGATGGACATCTCAGGCCATCCTAATTAAGTCCCAAACTACATGTCTGCAAAGCTGAGTGCTGTTTTCTAGGACAATGCCTCAACTTCTCACTATTTTTTTCTTCCTTGTCATTAATGTCTCACCATCTTTTTCTTCCTCATCATTAATGTCTCTCTAATGCATTTTCTCATCCCTATCCCCACTAAACCAGTTCCTCTTTTTGTTCTTCCTGGTTTTACCTGGACCTAGGATTATAATAGCCTCACTGGACGCTTGCTTTCAGCCTCTGCCACACCTGATCTATCATCCGGAAATATTTTTCTAAAACATAATGTTAATTATGTAATTAGACTGTTTATATGCCTTTTATGCCACCTGACTTGTCCAGTGATATCATCTATAAGGATCACAAAGCCCTATTTACCCTTTGTTCTATATTCTGCCAGTCCTTTAACACATCACATGAGACATCTATCTAATCAATGACTGAATACAGTGTGCAATTCCAAGCCTCTGTTGCTTACTTGTACTGTTTCTTCAGCCTATGGAATTTCTTTCCATATTTTTCTTCCATCCAGACTCTTACTAACTCTTAAAACCCAGCTTAAATGTCCCTCAAGGAAGCCTTCCTTCTCCTAGTGTCAAAGGCAAAATTAATTGATTGATCCTCCCTTGTTTCCATAGTGCTTTAGGAACAGCACCATTATAAGGTCAATTGCATTAAATCATAATTACTTTTTAACATTTCTGTCATCCCTACAGGAGCCGTGGTAGCACAGTGGTTAAAGCATTTGGCTACTAACCGAAAGATGTGGCTGTCTGCTTCCATAAAGATTTATAGCCTTGGAAACTCTATGGGGCAGTTCTACACTGTCTTCCAGACTCCCTAAGAATAGGAATTGACTCGATACCAGTGGATTTCATTTGTGCAGTTTGTGAGCTCTTTTATGGCAGAAACTACATTATACTTATTTTTTTGTATTCCTTGCATCTTATATCCCATGTACAGTAGGTATTAGATAAATTGAATGGGATTATAGCACCTGAGAGTAGATTTTTCTTTATTTTTGATTCACATACTTTTAACTTAGAAGACTTGAGCCACCTTAACAGACAGAAATCTAATCAGGATCTCTCTAGTTATTTGCCGTTTTTTCATATGGCTCTCTTACCTTTCTTCCCAGAAAAGCAGACCCATGCTTATTCCCACCCTGCAGCCCTTAGTGACCTTTTCATTGCCTCCTTCAAGGATATCAGTGTTGTGGTCTCATTGTTCATCTTCTTAAAGCAAAATGGAACAGAATGAAACAAAAGAAAAACTCAACAGAGCTGTGAATCCAGGTTTTTCTGCCGTCTTCTACTCAGCAACAGGCAGCAGTAGCGTGAGCATTCAATCTAAATTCTGCCTGAAAGGTCATTCAGCCCAAGAAGCTTTTAATAGCCTGTACATCCAAATATAGTTTCAAATAACTGCCCATGTGAACACAGGTGTCCTAGAATGCACTGTAATATTTGCCTTTGAAAATTGAGCTGTAGTATATCACATAACACAACCACCTTATGTTATTATAGGTCTGTATATATTCTGGTAAATGTGTGCAAATGTACATATGTATACATATGCTAGGATAAAATTTGATGGGAATATTAATTTCTCTCAAGTTTTAACAGCTTCATTATTCAATTATAATCTAAATAAGGTTTAAAAAGAGTCTCAGACCTTTTATGATGTATTATATCAAGACAAAATATCTAACTAACCATCATTACCAAACCAAACTAAAATCACTGCCGTTGAGTTGGATCTGACTCTTAGCGATCCCTCCTTGGGTTTCTGAGGCAGTATCACTGTGGAAGTAGATTGCCCAACCTTCCTTCCAAGGAGTGGCTGGTGGGTTTGAACCGCCAGCCTTCTGGGTAGCAGCCAAATGCCTTAGGCACTGCTAATAAATGTTTATTGACAGTTTCTAGTTCTAGATTATAGGAGGAGCCCTGGTGTCACAACGGTTAAGCACTCAACTCCTAACCAAAAAGTTGGTGGTTTGAAACTACCCAGCAGCTCAGCAAGAAAAGACCTGGTCTGTTCCTGTAAAGTTTACAGCCTAAAAAACGCTATGGGATAGTTCTACACTGTCACTTGGGGTCACTTTGAGTTGAAATTGACTCAACAGCACCTAACAATAACAACAGTACTAAGTCAGGTATTGGAAAGAAAAAATGTTCTCATGGAGTTTAAAATTTAATTGGAACAAAAAGGATATACTTAAAAAGAAAAACCTGTACTACCAAAAGTTATGCACTAAATAGATACAGACCGTAAGAAACATAAATGAGAGACTAGGTCATTGGAATCCTGGGTAATTAGGGAAAAGCTCACACTGAAGCTGGGACTTGGCTTGACCTCAAAGGGAAATGTAAGTCTTTGATTATCAGAAAGGAGAATAAAGGGTATTACCACTCAGAGAAATTGTTTGAGCAATGTCATGGAGGTGGCAAATGTACATGATGTTTTCAGGGAACAATGAGTGGGTTTTGAGCAAATAAGTCATGTGAGGAAAAGGAAAAAAAAAATACATTGATAAGAACTATATCATGGATTTATTCATTCGTTGAATCATTTATTCACCTAATCGATATTTATTGACACCATAAATAGTTATTGAATGGATGAAACTTAAGGAGCTGTGGTGGTATAGTAGTTAAGGCATTTGACTGTTAACCAAAATGTCAGTGGTTCGAGCCCACCAGCTGCTCTGTGAGAGAAAGATGAGGCAGTTTGCTTCTGTAAAGATTTACAGCCTTGGAAACCCAATGGGGGTGGCTATGAGTCAGAATTGACTTGATGGCAGTGAGTTTGGTTCTGGTTTTTGGAAGAAATATGAGTGAAAGAAGAGCACTATTCTGGCCATTGAGAACACAGTGATGAATGAGACAGTGTCTTTACCCTCAAGGAGCATACCAGTAGGGAGACAGAAAACCAGGATTGCAAGAGTCAATGTTTCTAGATGGCCAGGGTAAGGAGTTTGGATGTATATTAAGCACTGGTTCCGTCAAGTTAATATGGCCGTGGTGTTTAGCATAGGTGCAAGTGGGAATATAACCAGAAGCAGAGAAGATGCTTAGGAGACTGCTGTCAGAGTTCAGATGCGAGGAAATGAGAGCTTCAGTTGCAATGTAGGTCTTGGGAATAGAAACACAAAGGAACAGTTATAGAGACATCAACTTATTCCACATAACCCTGGTAGTGGAGTCAGTTACTCTCACATGAAACTTCAGAAAGTTTGGGTATCTTGAAGGAATCAAGTCCTTCCTTGAGTAAGTGGAAAAACCCTTGCTTAGGATCTTTATGGCCTACTCATGGCCATCTTCCCTAACCCATTATTTTTTTTTTCATTAACAGAAATCAAATTTTTTCAGGTATTTAACCACACACACAGTATCTCCTTGTTCTGTTTGAACAACTGCCGCTTGGTCTATGTACAGGTTCCTTATGAGCACAATTAAGTGTTCTGGAATTCCCATTCTTTGCAGTGTTATCCCTAATTTGTTATGATCCACACAGTCAAATGCCTTTGCAAAGTCAGTAAAACATAGGTAAACATTTTTCTGGTATTCTCTGCTTTCAGTCAAGATCCATCTGACATCAGTAATGATATCCCTTGTTCCACATCCTCTTCTGAATCTGGCTTGAATTTCTAGCAGTCTCTGTTGATGTATTGACATCGATATATGCTTACAGGTCAAAAAGTTAATATAAACAATATGCCATATATTTCAGGGGTGGCTGGGTCAGTCCTATGTCTTGGGGTGGGGTGGTGATGGTAAACCTTGATTAGACTAAGCCAACCATGACAATTTCATTCTTACTCGTTTAGGACAGGCAGGTATCAGAATCTCACCCACGAAATGTGAGAGGAGGTCATCTATGGTACTTCTAAGAAAAGTTTTCCTGACAGTAAAAAGAAATACACGGAAGAAAATAGTCCCTCTTCATTTGTCAATGTTGTTGAATCTTCATGTGATGCTGGAGCTATAGCAGCCATGAGGAAAAACTAGTTTAAAGGAACAAGCCAGGATAACAGAGTAGAAAGATGAAATGAAATTAACCTTCCTGGGTCCCTGTGAGGAGTTCTGGTGGCATAGTGATTAAAGAACCTGGCTGCTAACAAAAAGGTCAGTGGTTGAACCCACCAGCCACTCTGCAGGAGAAAGATGAGGCAGTATGCTTCTGTAAAGATTTAAAGCCTTGGAAACCCTATGGTTAGTTCTACTCTGCCCCATAGGGTTGCTATAAGTCAGAATCAACCTGATGGCAGTAGGTTTGGGTTGGTTGGGTCCCTATGTGGTGCAAAAAGTTTGTGCTCATCTACTAACCTAAAGGTTGGTGGTTCAAACTCACCCAGTGGCACCACAGAAGAAAGGCCTGGTGATCTGCTTCTGTAAAGATTACAGCCAAGAAAACCCTATAGAGCAGTTCCACAGTGTAACACATGGGGTTGCCATGAGTCTGAATCAACTCAACAATGGATTTTCTTTTTTGGGAACTGTTCTATTTCTAGGCTTTTTATTATGGGAGGTAAAACTTTGCCTTATTGATTAATCCTTTTATAGTTAGGGCTTCTGTCCTCAAGGACCTAAGAGTTCAGTGAAGGAGATTTTATACATCAGCTTTTTCTTTTCTGGAGTTTCTTCTGAAACCTTTTATCCCCCTGAAGCTACCATTAGTTTTCTTAGGGATGGACCTATGGCCAGAAAATAAAACAGAAGGAAAGACAGAATGGTGGCACCTCTGATGTGACCTAGTTTCTCTATTCTCAGCTTAGTCAGGTTAAGCCATTGTAGGACCAGTTCCTGTCCCCCACCCCAAGCCCCTGGAACAAAGTTTGGAACAGAACAAAGAGTATACAGGGATGAAAGCCTACCCTGGGATGAGAGCCTGAGATTCCAGCCACTAAGGCATTTGACTGCTAAGCAGAAGGCTGGTGGTTCAAACCCACCAGCCACTCCTTGGAAGGAAAGTTGGGCAATCTACTTCTGCAGTGATACCGCCTTGGAAACCCAAGGAGGGGTCACTATGAGTCAGATCTGACTCGATGGCAGTAGTTTGGTGGTGTTTTTTTTTTTTTTTTTTTTTAAATGCTATTTCCACCAGGATGCTCCTGCCCATCCAGGTCCAATACTTATTCCTGCTCCCTACTCTCTGACCACCTCTTGTCTATACAGACCTAAAAAGTGCCTATTGATCCTTCTGTCCTTGTCTCCCTCTCAGTAACTTGGCCTTTTGCCTCCCTGGTCTTTTGTTATTTCCTGATATCTTCTGCCAGGCTCATCTTCTGGATCCTGCTTGCACTCTGCCACACTGCTTTCCAAACTTTTCTATAACAAAGCTGCAGCCTAGACTCCTGTCTGCTTTCTGATGCAGAGAACAGAGCTTTCAAAGGATGTTGAGAGCAGAGCAATGCCAAGAAGTAAACAATACTTTGCTCTGATAAAACAAGTATTTGGAAAAACAGCAGCAAGTTTTTGTTGTTTATGGTAGAACTAAATTTAGTACTAACAACTGAATACTTTGGGTATTTTGAGTACTATACTTTTAGTACTAAACTAATAGAGTAATCATTATCTCTTTAGGTTGCTGGGCCCAGGAAAAGATCCAGGAAGCTTTTGCCAGATACTAAGTTGTCATTAGTAACCTTGAAAGGAGGAGTCAAGTCAGGTTCTTGTAATAGTGCACACGTAGATGGCAATAGGATTTGTAAGAATGATACTTGCCAGGGAGTTTGCTATCCTGATCATGTTCACTTGGCACTTTAGAAACTTGACTTCAGTCTTCAAGTAGGTGCATTCAGTCCATATTTGTCTATACCAATATGTCAGAGAAAGGAGGTCTTTAATTTGGGAATTTATAAAAAAAAAAAACAAAAAAAACTACAATAGGATTCATTGACAATGTCTGAGCACATATTCTAGAATGAGAATTCTATGCATTTCTTCAGTTCTATCCCCAGACCCAGGAGTCCCTAAGTGGAATGAATGGTTAATTAAGTGCTTGACTACTAGCCAAAAAGTTGGTGGTTCAAACCCACCCAGCGATGTCTTGGAAGACAGAAATGGCGATCTGCTTTCAAAAGGTCGCAGCCTTGAAAACCCTATGGAGCAGATCTACTCTGTACATACAGGGTTACCATGAATCAGAATCACCCCAATAGCTAACTAACAACAACATCCCCAGACTCAACCTTGCATGTGGTCCACCATCATATAAAAACATTAGATCC